ATATTTTATTATATTTTATTTTTTATTTTATTTTATTTTAATTTAATTTAATTTAATTTAATTTTATCTTATTTTTCACATGCCCAGTTTAGGGGGATTTCAGGTGGAAGATTCTGGAGACATGAGGAATGGGGTTTTTACAAGGTGGCTTTTCCCTTTTTCCTCCTTCTGCTCCAGCCCAGCTGTGTCCTCATGGAAATCCTTCCCTGGCAGGGTGGGCAGGGCCTGGCACAGGTGCCCAGAGCAGCTGGGGCTGCCCCAAATCTCTGGAATTCATCCAGGCCAGGTTGGACATTGGGGCTTGGAGCAGCCTGGGACAGTGGAAGGTGTCCCTGCCATGGCAGGGCTGGGATGGGATTGGATTTAAAGCCCCTTCCAACCCAAACCACTCTGGAATTCCATGTTTTTATGAAAGTGCACAATGATTATTTGCATTTAAGGTCCCTCCAACCCAAACCACTCTGGAATTCCATGATTTTATGAAAATGCACAATGATTTTTTGCTGTGCCCTTTGCCCGGGGGCAGAACTGGGGAGAAGCACAACCCCTAAAACCTCCCAAAACAGCCCAAAAACCATCCTAAAAAAAAAGCAAAAAACAAAAAAGCAGAAAAGCAAAAAAGCAAAAACCAGCACAAGATATCCCAAACCAGCCCAAAGCAGCTCCCACAGCAGCAGCACCGAGGGATGCGGCTCATTTTGGGAGCATCCCCAAAGGGTGACAGTGGGGACCGCAGGGACACACGGGGCTGTGTCCGTGTCCCCTCCCCGGGCTCGGTGGCTCTGTGCTCGCTGTCGCCGCCCGGGTTTCCCCGCTGTTTCCACAGCAACCCCGGTGACAGATTTCCGTCCGCGACCGATTTCCTCCGCTGCCCTGAGCCAGGGAGCTCAGCGCTGCCACATCGCCCCGACAGCCCAAAAAATCACAGAGCTGTCCCTGCAACCCTGGGACAGCCCAAAATCCAACCCTGAGCTGTCCCTGCAGCTCTGGCACATCACCCTGACATCCCAAAAACCCACCCAGAGCTGCCACATTGCCCTGACAGCCCAAAAAATCACAGAGCTGTCCCTGCAACCCTGGGACATCACCTGGGACCTCCCAAAATCCCACCCAGAGCCATCCCTGCAGCCTTGGCACCCACCTGGGACTTCCCAAAACCCCACCCAGAGCCTGGGACATCCCAAAAACCCACCCTGCAGCCCTGGCACATCACCCTGACATCCCAAAAACCCACCCAGAGCTGTCCCTGCGGCCCTGGCATCCCTCTGGTGGACATCCCAAAACCCCGGAGCTGGTCCTACAGTCCTGGCACCCACCTGGCACATCCCAAAATCCCACCCAGAGCCCTTCCTGCAGCCGTGGCACCCTCCTGGGGCATCCCAAAAACCCATCCAGAGCCTGGGACATCCCAAAACCCCACCCTACAGCTGTGGCATCCACCTGGGACATCCCAAAAACCCAGAGCTGTCCCTTCAGCCCTGGCACATCACCCTGACATCCCAAAAACCCACCCAGAGCTGGTCCTACAGCCCTGGCACCCACCTGGATCCCCCAAAAACCCACTCAAAGCCTGAGACATCCCAAAAACCCACCCTGCAGCCCTGGCACATCACCCACATCCCAAAAACCCATCCAGAGCCTGGCACCCACCTGGAACACCCCAAAAACTCACCCAGAGCCTGGGACATCCCAAAAACTCACCCAGAGCCACACCTGCAGCCCTGGGATATCCCAAAAAAACCAGAGGCTGGGACATCCCAAAATCCCACCCTGAAGCCCTGGCACCTCCCTGGGACATTCCAAAAACCCAGAACTGTCCCTGGGTGCCCCAAAACGGCCCCAAAACATCCCAAATCAGCCCCAAATAGCCCAAACCAGCCAACAATAGCCTAAAACTGCCTAAAACAGTCCAAAACAGCCCCAAAACCTCCCAAACCAGCTGAAATCAACCCCAAACCAGCCCCAAAACATCCCAAACCAGCCCCAAACAGCCCAAACCAGCCAACAATAGCCTAAAACTGCCTAAAACCGCCCAAAACAGCCCCAAAACATCCCAAACCAGCTGAAATCAACCCCAAAACAGCCCCAAAACATCCCAAAGCAGCTGAAAACAGCCCAAAGCAGCCCCAAAACATCCCAGAATAGCCCCAATATTGTGCATTTTGCTCCCCAAAACTGATGTTTTGCCCACGGTCGCCCTAGAAATCCCAAATCTCCGACTTCTCCATCCAGCCTGGGACTGTGATGGGAGCTGCAAAATTTGGAAGTGCAGCCACTGGAGAAGAGAAACCCCCAGGGCAGGGGTTTTTTGGGTTGTTTTTTGTCGTGTTTAAATCCATGGAATGGCAGCAGGAGCAGCAGGAAAAGGGCAGGGGTGGGAACTCGGGGACCTTTCCCTCCCCTGGGAACCTCCCCCGTGCTGAGATGAAGCAGGAATGGAGGTCAGGGCATCAAAGAGAAGGAGGATTTATTAAATTCATTCCCATTTTCTGAGCACAGCCCATGGGCAGGGCAGAGCTCCCTCCCCTGCTCACCCCCCCCAGACCCTTCCCCATCTGGTTTGAGGAAAATTCCGGGGTTTTATGGGCCAGGCATGAAATGTGCAGGGTATATTTAGCAGCAGACAATGCAGTCCCCCTCGCAGGAGTGGCTCATTCCCTCGTGCTCCTCCCTCCTGCCTCAAAACTGTCGGGTTTCAGCAGAAATCAGCAATTAGGGCCCCGGACCTGCCGATGACGGTCAGCGGGATATTTATAGAGGACAAAGGGAATTTGCTGGGAATGTGCAATTATCCCTGGAGCCTGTGGGAAAGGCACACAGAGGTGTTCCTGGCAGTGGGGATGGGCAGGGACAGTGGGGACACAGCCCCACATCTCCATCCCAGGGTTGGGATCCAGGGCCCAGCCCCAAAATGGGATGGGGCTGCAGCCAGGGCCACAGGGCAGAGCTGGGAAAAAACACTCTGGAGGCTGCACTGATGCTGCTTCCCCATGGAAAACGGGATCATCATCATCATCATCATCTTCTTCTTCTTTTCTTCTTCTTCTTCTTCTTTTCCTTCTTCTTCTTCGTCTCCTTCTTCGTCTTCTTTCCTCCTTCTCCTCCTTCTTCTCCTTCTTCTTCTTCTTTTCTCCTTCTCCTTCTTCTCCTTCTTCTTCTCCTTCTCCTTCTTCTCCTTCTCCTTCTTCTCCTTCTCCTTCTCCTTCTCCTTCTCCTTCTCCTTCTCCTTCTCCTTCTCCTTCTCCTTCTTCTCAGAATCCCAGAATGTTTTGGGTTGGAAGGGATCTTAAAGTTCATCCCATTCCACCCCTGCCATGGGTATGGACACCTCCCACTGTCCCAGGCTGCTCCAACCTCACCTTGGACACATCCAGGGATCCAGGGGCAGCCACAGCTGCTCTGGCAATTCCAGCCCTGCCAGGAATTCCCAATTCCCAATCTCCCACCCACCCCTGCCCTCTGGCACTGGGAGCCATTTCCTGTGTCCTGTCCCTCCATCCCTTGTCCCCAGTCCCTCTGCAGCTCTCCTGGAGCCCCTTCAGGCCCTGCCAGGGGCTCTGAGCTCTCCCTGGAGCTTTCTCCTCTCCAGGGGAGCACCCCCAGCTCTCCCAGTGAATGGGGACACGGAAAGTTTGTGGGTGTTGGCACCTTCTTCCACAGTTTTCCCTGGCTTTAGGAAGGAGGTGCCAGGATCAGCAAACCTGGCCCAAAATCACACGGAAAAGAAGTGGCCAATGATGTTCTGAGTTTCATTAGCACCAGTGGGAGATGGGAGGGTGGTCCTGGCTGCTGTGGAGGGGAAAGGCAGCACAAAGCTTCCATCAGACCCTGGAGAATCCATGAGAACCACCCAAAACCACCGACCCCACAGCTCCCGAAGGCTGGGGACCACCCTGAGCATCCCACCAGGATCCCCACTATGGACACTCCACAGTCCCACTTATTTCAGGAGCTCCCCCTGCGCCTCTTCCCAACTCCAGAGCACTGGAAGTGGCTGAAACTTCTACGAAAATCACTAAAAACCACCAAGAACCACCAAAACCCACCAACCCCACAGGTCCTGAAAGTTGGGAACCCCCCCCAGCATCCCACCAGGATTGTTACAATGGACACTCCACTTATTTCAGGAGCTCCCCCTGCACCTCTTCCCAACTCCAGTGTGTTGGAACTGCTGGAACTTCTACAAAAACCCACCAAAAATGACCAAAACCCACAAAACCCCACCAAAAATCATCAAAAACCACCAACCCCACAGCTCCTGAAGGCTGGGAACCCCCCTGAGCATCCCACCAGGATCTTTACTGTGGACACTCCAATCTCCCACTTATTTCAGGAGCTCCCCCTGCACCTCTTCCCAACTCCAGAGCATTGTAAGTGGCTGGAACTTCCACAAAAACCACCAAGAACCACCAAAACCCCACCAAAACCCACCAAAAATCATCAAAAACCACCAACCCCACAGGTCCTGAAGGTTGGGGACCCCCCTGAGCATTCCACCAGGATCTTTACTGTGGACATTCCAATCTCCCACTTATTTCAGGAGCTCCCCCTGCACCTCTTCCCAACTCCAGAGCATTGTAAGTGGCTGGAACTTCCACAAAAACCACCAAAAACGACCAAAACCTACCAAAATCCACCAAAAATCACCAAAACCCACCAAAAATCAGGACTGAAAGGCTCAGCCCACCCACTGCCCTGCCTGAGGCAGGAGTTGCCCTAACCTGAGCTGGGATCACCGGAGCAGAGAACCCCAATAAATGCAAGGTTACCCTTAAATCCAGCCCTGCTCCATCTCCCCCCTTATCCTGGGAGCATTTTCCACCTCCAAGAGCCAAAGTGATGCAAACAACTGTCACTTTATTGTCACCTCCAGCCGTTCTGCAAAAGGCACACAACAAACTTCATTGGTACAAAAGAATTTCCGGGGATTTTCGCTCGATTTTCCTGGAGTTTTTTTTTCCTTTATTTTTTTTCCTTTTTTTTTTTTTTAATTTTCCTGCTCCTTTTTGCAACACAGTCACCGGGCTCTCCCATCAGCCCCGATGGGAAGATCCTTTCACAGAAAGGATTATTTTTGTGCAGACAGACAGATCCTTATTGCAGGGGGGGAACAGCCCCAAGGGCACGGCCACCTGTGGGAAAACTGGGAATAAATGGCACCTCTGTGTCCCCCTGTCCCAATGTCACCTCTGTGTCCCCCTGTTTTAGGGCTCCATCCCAACGCCATTGTTCCACCCCAGCTCTGGGTGCAGGATAACGGGATGGGGCTGCCCGCTCCCCATTCCTCAGCAGTGTTTACCCATTTCTCCACACATTTCTTTACACATTTTATCCCTTTTTTCCCTCTCCAGCTCTGTGTTTCTGCAGGCTGAGGGTCCCGTGGAGAGCATCCAGACGGTGGCAGAGGAAGGGGAGAAAGAGGCTGGGGATGAATTTTGGGGGATTTTCCTGCCTGTGCCAGCATGGAAACTCACACTGCAAACCCAGCTGTGACTCACAGATGTTATCCCAGCACCCAAGGAGAGGGTTGTGGGGTATTTGGTGGGGTGTCCCCAAAACCAGAGCATCCCCCCAGCTGCTCTGTGTGGATTGAGGGAGACAAGGATGCTTCAGGGACCCCCATCCTGCCCTGCCAACATAGGAAATCGACATTATTTCCCCACAAAACCCCTCAGGCAGGGCCAGATCAAGCTCTGGGCTGGGGGCACAGTGCCACAGTCCCACTGCAGCTCTCCCATGTCCCAACATCCCAAGAGATTTTTATTTTTAATTTTTTGCACTGTGCCTATAGCTCCTCTCCATTTCTTTTGGTACCAGCTCCCTCCCCCAACATTTCTTATAAAAATAAGATTGTGCTTATTTATAAAATAATTATAATTTTTTTTTTGGTTCGTTTTTTTTTAAGAAAAGCTTCCAGTTAAAAAAAAAAAAAAAAGGTGGTGTATCAAAATATGGCAAAACTTTGGCTGTCAATGGCTAAACTCTAATTAAAAATATCCACTACAAAGGCATTGTGCTGTGATAATTAACTCTGCAATCAGCAAATGTTCCACCTGGGCTGCCTGCCTTCCCTGGGACACACTCAGAAACCACCCCTGGGTTTTCCTGGCACGTCACCATCATCCTCTGGCAGAATTATTCCAGCTGTAAGACACCTAAGGATGCATGAAAAGCCTTGGGAAAAGGGAAGGGAGATGCAGTGGGAAGAGCCACACGGACAAGGCAAGGATGCACATTCTCCTCGAGAGGAAAGTCTCTTTTCTCACCTTGGTGCTTAAGAAAAAAAAAATAGGATTGTTGATAGAGTTCATGAAAGAAGAGAGGCAGATCTTTTGTATAAAAGGTGTTTCAGAGCAGGAGTAAAATGCAAATGGGTCTATAAGATCCAGACATATATAAACATACATACCTCGATATATTTATATATGTATTCTCTAGATATTCAGTGTTTGGAATGCATTATTGCATTATCCTTAGAGGAGATTTATTTTTTTTTCCATCCTGCTTTGCTTTTTTTTTTTGGGAGGGTGGGTTCTTTGTTTTTTTTTTTTGGTTTTGGGGTTTTTGCTCTCAAAAAAAAAAAAAGAAAAAAAAAGAGAAAAATATAAAAAACAAGTTGCAAATGGCTCTGAGAGCTTCCAGCCATCATCCACCTGGCTGGGACTGCTGTGGCCCGACCTCCAGCACGTGTTTTTTTTTGGAAAAACTGGGCTCATGCTGTGCCCCAGGAGCTGCTGGCCATGCCTTCCTCCATGGAACACCACCACGCCCGGCTGGTTATTGCTTGATTCTCCCTTCCCATACTGGCCTTTAGGGTTATTTACATTTCTTTGGCTTGGCTTGAACACGACAGTCTGGCACTTTCCATCCGCCCCAGAGTCACCTGGGGGCAAGGAGGGGGCGAGAGAGGCCACGGCAAAGCACAGGGGGGCTCCTGCCAGCTCCAGCTGGGCCGTGCCCCCGCCAGCCGGAACGAGACAGCTTGTGCTTGGCACAAACCCCTCTGGAACCCACTCTGTGCCCGGGGGGCATCCCCATCCTGCCCCTTCTCCAGCAGGGCCAAGGTCTCCAGCGTGGTCTGCAGGGAGCAGGGCAGGGCTGGCGGCGCCGGAGCCTCCCCACGCTCACACCACGAACTCGGGCACCTCGTCGTGGGTCAGGTCCAAGGAGAAATATTTGCTGGTTCTCTTCACGGGGAAGGTGTCCTGGATGTTGATGCACTGCTGGGCCAGGCAGCCGTTGCAGTAGAGCCCCTCGTGGTCCAGGCCGTGCGCGCAGCCGAAGGTGAAGCTCTGCGCCGTGTCCTGGCACAGGTTGGCCAGCTGCAGGAAGTCCTTCTGGTAGAGCCTGATGTCATCCAGGCTCAGGCTGTGCCGGTCTGTGGATGTCTTGGGTTTCCTGCACGTCGTCTGGGAAAAGCCAAGAGGAGGCTCAGGGTGTGCCAGGGAGCCCTCAAGGTTCATAGAATTCGCAGAATTCACAGAAATCACAGAATAATGAGGCTGGAAGAGACCTCTGAGATCATCAACTCCAACCTAGGCCCTAATATCTCAACCAGACTACAGCACCAAGTGCCATGTCCTGTCTTTTTTTAAACACATCCAGAGATGGAGTCTGTTGAAGATTGCAATGCAAGTTGTTTTCCATTACCATCTGTATGGCAGATTACCTTTGTCAAGTGGGCAGTTTGCCTTATCTCTCTCTTTGAGTGACCTCCCTCACAATCACACCGCCCTGGAGAGGGGACACCTGCTGATAACAGCTATTGAATGTCCCTGCATGGCTGATAAGAACTACAGCATCCCACTGGGAGATGTGAGCCCAGAGGGAGGAGCCAAGCATTCCTACCTGGATATAATCTGGAGATTCTGGAACACCAGCCAAGCATTCCTGCCTGGATATAATCTGGAGATTCTGGAACACCAGCCAAGCATTCCTGCCTGGATATAATCTGGGGATTCTGGAACACCAGCCAAGCATTCCTGCCTGGATATAATCTGGGGATTCTGGAACACCAGCCAAGCATTCCTGCCTGGATATAATCTGGAGATTCTGGAACACCAGCCAAGCATTCCTACCCGGGTATAATCCAGAGGTTTTTGAGACACCAGCCTGGCTTCTCCACTGGATTCCACAGAAGAACAGCAGCTGTCTCTCCTTCCCTTGGATCTCCATAGGCAGAATACATCCTTCTCTACAGATCCCGCTTGCTCCAGCAGAACCAGCCCTGACACTGCAGGAGGGCTGAGCCACAATTCCAATGGGACTGACCCACAGCCAACAGCCTGACCCACAGGGTGTCAGGTTGGGTTCTGACTCTGGCAGTGTTGTTCTGGTGTACTGCATTGTTTATTTTACCCTTTTATTTTTTCCTTTCCCTATTAAAGAACTGTTATTTCCTGCTCCCATATTTTTGCCTGAGAGCCCCTTAATTTAAAATTTATAGCAATTCAGAGGCGTGGGGAGGGTTCACATTCTCCATTTCAGGGGAGGCTCCTGCCTTCCTTAGCAGACTCCTGGCTTTCCAAACCAAGACAGTGATTCCACCACCTCACTGGGAAGAGCACTCCAGTACTTTATTATTCTTTAAGTGAAATTTTTTTTCCTAATATCCAACCTATCCCTTCCCTGCCGTAGTTTGAGGCTGTGTCCTCTGGTTCTGTCAGAGACCGACCCCACCTGTCTGCAGCCTCCCATCAGGAAGGTGTGGAGAGCAATGAGGTCACCCCTGAGCCTCCTTTTCTCCAGGAATGTTGGGAATCCCAAAGCCCCAGCCCCACGTACCTGGGGTAAGGAGTCAGTGCTCTGCCCCCGCAGCTTCACCACCGTCTCTGAGGAGCTGGAGGTGGAGGAGCTGATCTCCTTCACAATGAGTCCTGCACAAAGGAGGGTGCAAAGGTTATTGTGGGGTGGCTCAGCTCTCCTGGCATCCACTCCTGCTGTCCATGGGGACAAAGGCTCCCTCAGTGCAATGCAGTTCCTTTTAGCCCAACAGCTCCACTTGCAAACAGTGTTGCCTACAAAGCATCCCAAATTTGCCCCAAATTGGCATCCAAAACTGTCCCCAGGGAGCCTGGCATCCCCAAAGACCTCCCAGTACCTCCCAGCTCAGAGCTGCAAGTGATTTTCAGGGTGCAAACACAGCTCCAGAGAAGATCCTGGAGTCCAACTGTTCCCCAGCACTGCCGGGGCCACCACTGCCCCCTGTCCCCAAGTGCCACATCCACGGGGCTTTTAAATCCTTCCAGGGGTGGGGACTCCACCACTGCCCTGGGCAGCTGTGCCAGGGCTGGACAAACCTTTCTGTGAGGAAATTTTCCCCAATATCCAATGCAAACCTCCCCTGGCACAAACTGAGAGAAGTTCCTCTTTTCTTTACCCCATTTCTCCTTCAACCCATTGGGTGAACAGTTTTTCCCAGCATCCCAAACAGACACCTGGGGCTAACTCTGCCCTGCCAAACACCAGAGAACCACGGTGTCCTAGGGTGATGTTATGATGCTTGTATCCCCATTTGTCTGTTCTGTTTATGCTGGATATGATGTTCTGTGCCTTCAAGACTGGCTCTGAAGAGTGAAAGTTTTGTTTTGGTTTTGTTATCAGCCTGGCAGGACACAGAGACAGGGCAGTACATGGTGCTGCTTTTGCTTTTTGCTTTGCTCTTGCTTCTGCTTTGCTCCTGCTCATTAGTTAGTTTAGCTAAGCAGTCCAAATTTTTCCCTGGACTGTTTTTCCTTTCCCTTTTTTGGAACCATTTGAACCTGCTCTGGACTGGGACCTGGAAACACCGAGAGTTTGCACCCTGTGGCCTGCAGCAGCTGCCCCAGCACCAGAGGGACTGATAATACAGAGACTTTCTGAATTTGTCATCTTTTTCACAGTGGTGTCACCCAGTATTGTTCATTCTGTGTGCTGGGGTGCTGTGCCTATTAAATAAACAGGTTCTTTCCACCTCTCTCCAAGGAATCCTTCCTGACCTGATTGTGGGGAGAGGGCGTGTGGGTTTGCTTTCTGGAGGGGCCCCCTTTGGAGGTTTTCTCCCAAATTTGCCCTAAACCAGGACACATGGAATGACCAGGCTTGGAAGAGACCTCAAAGACCTCTTTAGACCTCAAAGCCCATCCTATCCCAGCTCCCAAAGGCGTGACTGGCACTGGGGGATTGGGAAGAGAAGCGGCCAGCACCTTACCCGAGTGCCCGTTGAACTTGCGGGACAGCAGCATGTCCTCGGTGATGTAGACACACATGTCGGGGCTCACCTCCATCTCCCCAGCCTGCTCCAGCTCCCGGGGGTCATCCACCAGCATCTCAATCTCTGCAGGGCACCAGCACACAGGACAAGTCAGCCGTGCCCCTTCGGAGCACCCTCTGTCACATATTTTATGAAAAATCCTTTCATTAGGAGCTTTTCTCCTGAGAAGCTGGGAAGCTTCAGCTTCCTCTCCCACGTTTTGCTGCTTTGGAATGTGATTTGGAGAATTGTTTACCCAGCATGTGAAATTGTTTTTACTTGATGACCAATGACGGCCACCTATGTCGAGGCTGTGAGCAGCCACAATATTTTGTTATCATTCCTTTCTATTCCTTGCTAGCCTTCTGATGAAATCCCTTCTTCTATTCTTTTTAGTATAGTTTTAATATCTCCTTTTCTTTTCATATTATATATATCATAAAATAAATCAAGCTTCTGAAACATGGAGTTTCACAGGGGTTCTTTTAGTATAGTTTCTTCTATTCTTTTAGTATAGTTTTAGTATATAATTGTATTCTTCTATTCTTTTAGTACAGTTTTAGTATATCATTTTCTTTTCATATAATATATTTCATAAAATAATAAATCAGCCTTCTGAAACATGGAGTCAAGATTCTCACCTCTTCCCTCAATAATAACATCTAGCAGAAAGCAAATCTGCCATTTGCAGGAATAAATTGTGCAAGATGCTGTTAAAGTAACAACTATCAGAAGCTGTTATCCCTCCTAAAGAAAATTTAAAAAAATTAAAATCTTTAGTGTCTGACAATCTACAATAATCAGAACCTGGGACCCCTGCAAACACCACCACACACCCTGAACCAACCCCAGCACCTGGACAACCTGTGGTATTCACATGCCCTCTGAAGAGACAGAAGCTGTGAGATGAGCAGAGAAGAAGGAAAACATAATTCTTATCTGGCTTGCTGTGCCTGTGTTGTGCTAAAGCAGAATGCAATATGGAGATGGTTTACCCAAAGTGAGGATGTTTTGTTCCCTTGGCTTAGCAGGGCCAAGAAGTGTGTACGGGGGTGTGTGTGTGTGTGTGTGTGTGTGTGTGTGTGTGCTGGACTGTCACGGGACTGTGACCATGTTCACAGGGGTCTCAGGTTGAGGGAAGAGATGAGGATCTGACTCCATGTTTCAGAAGGCTTGATTTATTATTTTATGATATATATTACATTAAAACTATACTAAAAGAATAGAAGAAAGGATTTCATCAGAAGGCTGGCTAGGAATAGAATAGGAAGGAATGATAACAAAGGCTTGTGGCTTGGCTCTCTGTCCGAGCCAGCTGGGCTGTGATTGGCCATTAATTAAAAACATCCAACATTGGCCAATCAAAGATCCACCTGTTGCATTCCACAGCAGCAGATAATCAATGTTTACATTTTGTTCCTGAGGCCTCTCAGCTTCTCAGGAGGAAAAATCCTAAGGAAAGGATTTTTCATAAAAGATGTCTGCAACATGGGACAGTCACAAGAGAATCAGAGGTGAGTGCAGTGTGAGCAAGAGCGAGTGCAGGGCAGATTCAGTTTAGATACAACATATATAATACAGTATAACAAAGTAATTAATTAGCCTTCTGATGATGGAGTCATATATATCATTCTCTCACCGTCATCCTGGGAATCCTCCTCCAGCCGCTCCTTCCCGCCGCTCTCCACGCCCGAGGTGTGGGAGCTGCCGTGGCTGGTCATGGAGCTGCACGTCTTCAGCTTGCGGTGGGCACCGCCAGAGAAGGCGTCCTCGGGCCCCATCTCCCTGGCCTTGGGGTCGGCCTCGATGCCGGAGGTGTGGGAGCTGCTGTGGGAGGCCGTGGAGTGCCGGGACAGCCGCTTGTGCCGGGCGCTGCCGGCGCTGCTGCCGCTGGCGCGCGAGCGCTTCTCCAGCTGCTCCATGTCCAGGTCCAGCGTGTCGCTGATGTAGGACTCCCGGTACTGCTTCTTCTCTGCAGCAAATAAAATATTGCACAGAAATGTTTTAGGAAAAAGCCTTTCGTTAGGATTTTTCTCCTGAGAAGCCTCAGAGGAAAAGAAAAGCAATAATTATCTGCTGCTGTGGAATGCAGCAGGTGCATCTTTGATTGGTCCATGTTGGTTGTTTTTAATTAATGACCAACCACAGTCCAGCTGTCTCAGACTCTCTCTCTCACCCTAACCCTAAACCCTAACCCTAAAGGAAAAGAAAAGCAATAATTATCTGCTGCTCTGGAATGCAACAGGTGCGTTTTTGATTGGTTTCATGTGGTTGTTTTTAATTAATGACCAATCACAGTCGGCAGGCTCGGACGCTCTGGTCAGTCATAAGGTTTTATTATCATTCCATTCCTTTCTATTCCTTGCTAGCCTTCTGATAAAATCCTTTCTTCTATTCTTTTAGTATAGTTTTAGTATATAATTTTATTTTAATATAATAATAATTTATATATATATATAAAATAAATATATATTAATTATATATATTATAAAAGAATAAATATTTTATTATATAAATATATATAAATAAATAAAACTGTAAAATTAATAGATATAAATAAATACGTATTTTATGATAATATATATAATAAAATAATAAATCAGCCTTTTGAAACATAGAGTCAAGATTCTCCTCTCTTCCCTCATCCTGGGACCCCTGCAAACACCACCACATTTGGTGACCCCAAGTGAAGAAAAATTCCATATTTGGTGTCTCCAAGTGAAGAAAAATTCCACATTTGGTGACCCCGAGTGAGTGACATTGATTACCCCTTAATGGAGTTATCACCACGGGGGAACAGAATCAGAGTGATTCCCACAACCTCCAGGGCAAACTGGATCCTCTGGAAGGGCATGGATGTCCTGGCACACAGAGGAATTGTCAGAATTGAGCCCTGGCACAGCTGGGGACAGCTCTGTCCCAGTGGCATTAGGGAAGGTGGGGAAGCAGCTCCAAAGCTCCTGTGCTGGGCTGCTCCTTCAACAGAGGAGGAGGGAGACATGGAGGAGGAAGAGATGTGGAGGAAGAAGAGAAAGAAGAAAACAGAAAATAAGGAGGAGCAGGAAAAGAAGAAAATAAATGAGGAGGAAGAAGATGCAGATGAAATGGAGGAAGATGAAGATGAGGAGGAAGAAGATGAAACAATGTGGAAGAAGATGATGAGGAAGAGCAAGACAATGAAACAAGGTGGAAGAACATGAGGAGGAGGAAGAAGATGAAACAAGGTGGAAGACGATGAGGAGGAAGAAGAAGAGAGGAAAGAGGAGAATAAGGAAGAGAAAGGAAGATGAGAAGGGGAAAGACGAGATAGGAGCAAGAAGAGGAGGAGGAGGGTGAGGAAGAGAAAGAAGAGAAAGAAGAGGAAGATGAGGAGGAAGAGAAACAGGAAGAGAAAGAAGAGGAGGAAGAAAGCAAGAGCAGATTGGGATGAAGATGAGAACGGAGGAAGAAGATGAGGAGGACATGGAAAAAAGATGAGGAGGATGGTGAGGAGGAGGAAAACAAGAAGAGGAGGATAAAGATGAGAACAAGGAAGAAGATTAAGAGGACAAGCAAAAAAAGATGAAAAGGATGAGATAGAGGAAGAAGTTGAGGCAGAAGAGGAGGATGAAGAAGAGTACGACAAGAAGAACAAATAAGAAAAGGAGAAAGAGGGGAAAGAGGAAGATGAGGAAAGAAAAGAAGAGGAAGAAGAGCTTATGCTTTCACAGGGATGAGGGAGACTGGGAAAGGGACACATGAAGAGAAGGAGAAAGAGGAATAAGTTAAGGCAGATGAGGAGGATAAAAAAGAATAGGACAAGAAGAACAAATAAGAAAAAGGAGGAAGAGGGGAAAGAGAAAGATGAGGAAGATGAAGAGAAGATGAGGAAGAGTAAGAGAAGATGAAAAGAGCAAAGAAGAACACCTTATGCTTTCACAAGGATGAGGGACACAGGGTAAGGGACACACGAAAGGGATGAGAAAGAGGAAGAGGTTGAGGCAGATGAGGAGGATGAAGAAGAGTACGACAAGAAGAACAAATAAGAAAAAGGAGGAAGAGGGGAAAGAGGAAGATGAGGAAGAGAAAGAGAAGATGACAAAGAGGAAGAGAAGATGAGAAGAGTAAGAGAAGATGAGAAGAGGAAAGAAGAGGAAGAACACCTTATGCTTTCACAGGGATGAGGGACATGGCAAAGCCGTGCTGAGGCAGAACCGCGACACCGGCGAGGACAGCAGGGCTCGCGCCCACCCCTGCGCAGAAGAACCAGGAGCTCTCACAGGTGCAAACACCCCCTGGGAGCGCGTGCTGGTGTCTCTGGGGCTGCAGCACGTACCCTCGTTCTCCTCGAGCCGGCGCACCTGGCGCAGCACGGGCTGCAGGTTCATGTAGAGCCGGTGGCTGCTGCTGAGCAGCTGCAGGAGGTGCCGCGAGCGCAGCGGGCAGCCCGTGTAGTAGATGAGCTTGCGCGCCGAGGGCAGCCCGTCCGGCAGGATCTCGAACTTCTTGCCCTGCGTGTGACAAGGGAGGGGTCAGCCCCAGGCGGGAGAAGGCTCCAGTTCTCACCCAGCCCTCCTGCAGCTCCTCAGTGACCCCATGGGTTGTTGTTGTCACCTGCTCCGGGTCGGTGCTGAAGCGCCCCATGCCCACATCCACATCCACACCCTGCCTGGGGATGGTGGAATCACTGAGGGGTTTGGGGTGGAAGGGACCTTAAAGAACACCTAGACCAACCCTCTTCCACCTTCCACTGTCCCAGGGTGCTCCAAGCCCTGCCCAGCCTGGCCTTGGACACTTCCAGGGATCCAGGGGCAGCCACAGCTTCTCCAAAGACCCTCCCCACCCTCTAAACCCCCAGGGCCTCCCCACCCTCAACGGGAACAATTCCCAATTCCCAATCTCCCACCCACCTCTGCCCTCTGGCACTGGCAGCCATTCCCTGGCTCCTGTCCCTCCATCCCTTGTCCCCAGTCCCTCTCCAGCTCTCCTGGAGCCCCTTCAGGCCCTGCCAGGGGCTCTGAGCTCTCCCTGGAGCCTTCTCCTCTCCAGGGGAGCACCCCCAGCTCTCCAGCCTGGCTCCATAGGAAATGGTGCTCCTGCCCGTGGAGCATCTGCTGTGGAGCTGCTCCAAGAGCTCCACGTCCTCCCTGTGCTGAGAACCCCAGAGCTGGAAGCAGTGCTCCAGGTGGGGATGGTGGCACTCACTACAAACACCAGTTTCCCCACGTTTGTCCACGGGAAGTCGTAGAGCAGCTGCTTTTCCTCATCCAGGTTCTGCAAAAAGAGGAGAGGGAGCCATGCCTGAGGATTCTGGTAAGGGCAAGGAGCTGGGCTGAGCCATCACCTTCATCACCTACCTGGAAAATCTGGATGCCCCGTGTTGTCAGCCCCAGAGTCAGGGAGGCCTCCACTTCCCTTTTGTCCTAAGGGGGGAAAAATATGCTTTTAAATACACAATTTGCATCATGAATTGGTTAAATCCACCCCACCTCAGCCCAGGGATCCTCCCACAATCACCCCAGTCACCATTCTATTATTAATGTGCCAAATTGAAAATGGAAAGTCATTTTGGACACAGGCAGTGACAGGATAAGGGGGAATGTTTTTGAACTAAAACAGGTTTAGATTAGATGTGAGGAAGAAATTATTCCTGTGAAGGTGGGCAGGCCCTGGGACAGGGTGCCCAGAGCAGCTGTGGCTGCCCCTGGATCCCTGGAAATGTCCAAGGCCAGGTTGGAGCAGCCTGGGACAGTGAAAGGTGTCCCTGCCATGGAAGGGGTGGCAGTGGATGAGCTTGAAGCTCCCTCTCAACCCAAACCATTCTTATTAAATGGTTTTTTAACCATTAATTAATTAAATTAAATTAATTAAAACACCCCATGCTCTCCCAGCAAACAAACTGCTTTATTCCCAGGAGACTAAAAACCAGCATTTATTTCTCAGGGAGAGCATTCCCAAAATTCAGGTCGCAGCAGGCACGCAGGGCCAGGGCTCACCTTGTACAACCTGTAGTAGTGCACGGCCACGTCGTCCAGCCTGACAGCCTCCTTGATGTACTTGAGATGGGCCTCCGAGGCTGTCAGGGCAAACTGGTCCTTGTGCATGTTGGGGACGTGCTTCAGGATGTAATCCTTGCCCCTCTTGGCAACCACCTGTTTGGAGGGGGAGAGAAGCTCGTCCAGCTGCCCCGTGCTGGCCCCTGGGAGTGGTGGTTTCAAGGGAAAAGGGCAAATTGGAGCTTTGTTCTAGAGAGCTCCAAGCAAAAATAAAATCATTACAGCAGCCAGCGACTTCTTGCCAGCAGGATTTCCTGCTCCTTGTGGCCATTCCATGGTGGCACCTGTGCTGGGGCACACATGGGCTCTCCCTGTGGGGCTGGGGACACGGGCCCAGGGCCACCACGCCTTAGTGAGGTGTGTGAAAAAAGGAGAAATGGGCAGATTTTGGGAGAAATCCAAGAAAAGAGGTTGGGAAGGAGAAGAAAAGGCACCGGGGAGAGCTCAGAGCACCTGAAGGGGCTCCAGGAGAGCTGGAGAGGGGCTGAGGACAAGGGATGGAGGGACAGGAGCCAGGGAATGGCTCCCAGTGCCAGAGGGCAGGGATGGGTGGGAGATTGGGAATTGGGAATTCCTGGCTGGGCTGGAATTGCCAGAGCAGCTGTGGCTGCCCCTGGATCCCTGGCAGTGCCCAAGGCCAGGATGGACATTGGGGCACCCTGGGACAGTGGGAGGTGTCCCTGCCATGGCAGGGGTGGCACTGGGTGAGCTTTAAGGCCCTTCCAACCCAAACCACTCTGGGATTCTGTGCCAGCAGCTCCCAAAGGGCTGCACCTGATGCTGGTGGGGCAATGCCCACAGAGAATCACCCTGAAAAATCCCTTGGCCAGGATTTTTTCTCCTGGGAAGCTGAGAGGCCTCAGAAAAGAATGAAAACAACAATTATCTGATTGCTTCGAAATGTGGTCTGGAGATCGTTTACCAACAGTTGCATCTTTGATTGGTTCCATGAGAATTGTTTTTAATTAATGACCAATCACCACCAGCTGTGTCAGACTCTGAGGAGTCAGTCACAGAGCTTTCATTATTCATTTATTTTTTAGCCTTCTGATGCATCCCTTCTCTTTCTTTAGTATAGCTTTAGTATATATTATAATATAATATATACTATATTATACTATAATGTAATGTAATATAATATGTAATATATATAATTGCAATATAGTGTGATATAATGTGATATATAATGTGATATAATGTAATATAATATATAATGTGATGTAATGTCATATAATGTAATATGTGATATAATGTGATATAATGCAATACAATGTGATGTAATGTCATATACTGTGATATATAATGTGAGATATGATGTGATATGATATAATTATAATATAATATAATATAATATAATATAATATAATATAATATAATATAATATATCAGCCTTCTGAGAACTTGGAGCCTCATCTCTCACCTCGTCCTGGGAACCCTCACCAGCACCACACTGTCCCAGGTTATTTACACCCAGGACTAACCCAGGCTGCAGCCAGAGCAGGGAGCAGAGCAGGATTCCTTACCCAGGCAGGGAAATAGGCCTCGGGCTCGAAGTATTTCCCGTAGTGCTTGTTCCTCTTGAAGTCCCCCAGGTCGGCTTGCAGGGCGAAGGCAGTGAGCAGGAAATAAGCCTCTTCCCTCAGCACGCACTGGGAGTGCAGCACCTGCTTCCTCAGGTGCCAGTAGTAGTAGTACCGAGCTGTCCTGTCGCTGGGGAGGGACAGGGGACACAGAGGGGACATTTTCCAGAGTGGAAATCTGTCACAGACATCTCTTATGAAAAATCCTTTCAAGATTTTTCCTCCTAAAAAGCTGAGAGGCCTCAGGAACAAAATGTAAACAGTGGTTATCTGCTGCTGTGGAATGCAACAAGTAGATCTTTGATTGGCCCATGTTAGTTGTTTCTAATTAATAGCCAATCACAACTCTCTGTCTGAGCCACAAGCCTTTGTTATAATTCTTTCTTCTTCTATTCTTTGCTAACCTTCTGATAAAATCCTTTCTTCTATTCTTTTAGTATAGTTTTAATATAATATACATCATAAAATAATAAATCAAACCTGAAACATAGATTCAGATCCTCATCTCTCTCCTAATCCCAAGACCCCTGTGAACATGGTCACAGAAATCCATTTTGGTTTAGGTGAAATGTACATCTTTAAGTCTGTAGTTTGAAAACGTAGCTGTTTAGTCTGACTACCTGTTCTCATAAAAAACCTATGCTCAGAGAAACTGCTTCAGCCAAAGGACAGAGATAAAGGGGGGGGCAGACAAAAAACCAAAAAGTCTGCTACGAAAGCAAGTCAACCTGACCCAGGGATTCTTCCTGATAAAGAAGAATTAGCAGCAAAATCAGTAAAAATGAATATGCATGAACCTATTGTGAAATTGCATGCATATCTGTTTGAGAGGAAGATAAAAAAGGATCTGGAGTTCCCAGAGGTGCCCATGTCTTTTAAGGAGAGCAATCTCCACATGTGTCCAGCGCTGTAATAAACCACATACCAGCTTTACAACTTTCACAAAGTTGTGGAGTTTTTTTGCCTCCGCAAAACACAGGGGACACAGGGAGGTGTCAGCAGCCAGGGGACACCCTCTGGGAAGCCCTCAGGGAGGGGGCACCAAAGGGTTTTGTTCCCTCTTCCCTATTTGTTAAAATTTGTTAAAATATGTTAAAATTCTGCAAACGCGCAGCCGCTTCACCAGCCAGGTGAGTGATCCCCTCAAAAACTCTGTGCAGGTGCCACTGTGTCCCCAAAGCCCTCAGGACATCATTTAGCCCCAAAGCAGGAGCTGCAGCTCCTGCCCAGCTGTGAGTAAGTTCAAATTAGGCTGTGCTAAATCCCTAAACACATCATCCATCCCCTGTGGCATTCACATTTTCTGGAAAAATCCCTTCGCCCAGGATTTTGCTCCTGGGAAGCTGAGAAGCCTCAGAGGAAAAGAAAAACAATTGTTATCTGATTTGCTTCTCCTGTGTTTTGCTGCTTGGAATGTGGTTGGAAATAGTTCATCCAACAGGGATTGTTCCATTGGATTCTGCTGTGAGTTGTTTTCACTCTTTGGCCAATCAGGGCCAAGCTGTGTTGGGACTCTGGAAAGAGTCACGAGTTTTCATTATTATCTTTTTAGCCTTCTGTAGGTATCCTTTCTGTATTCTTCAGTATAGTTTAGTTTAGTATTCTTTAATATAGTGTCTTAAAATAATAAAAGAGCCTTCTGAGAACATGGAGTTACATTCATCATTCCTGCCTTCGTCTGGGGGCAACCCAAATACAAAAATCCCAAATAAAACCCCCCAAAAGGCTTTGTCTGGGGGCAATGTCCCCACCTGGCCCTGTCAGAAACCACTCAGCATCCACCCATAAAAGCCCCAGCTTCTGGGATGTGCTCAGCACCCCAGAGCACCCCAGGATGGGCACTGCCACCCCAGGAGGGGCCCAGACACCCCTGGAAGTGCCCAGCCACCCCAGGAGGGGCACAGACACCCCTGGAAGTGCCCAGCCACCCCAGGAGGGGCACAGACGCCCCAGGAGGATCCCAGCCACCCCTGCAGGAGCACAGCCACCCCAGGATGGGCACAGCTGTGCCAGGAGGATCCCAGCCATGCCAGGAGGGGCATAGCTGTGCCAGGAGGATCCCAGCCACTCCAGGAAGGGCACAGCCACCCCAGGAGATGCACAGACACCCCAGAAGGATCTCAGCCATGCCAGGAAGGGAACAGCCACCCCAGGAGAATCCCAGACACCCCAAGAGGTGCCCAGCTACCCCTACCCCAGGATGGGCACAGCCACCCCAGGAGATGCCCAGCCACTCCAGGAAGGGCACAGCCATCCCAGGAGAGGCACAGCCACCCCTGGAGGTGTCCTACCATTCCAGGAGATGCCCAGACATGCCAGGAAGGGCACGGCCACCCCAGGAGGGGCACGGCCATCCCAGGAGGGGCACAAACACTCCTGGAAGTGCCCAGCTACCCTAGGAGGGGCACAGCCAGCCCTGGAAGATCCCAACCATCCCAGGAGGATCCCAGCCACGCCAGAACATGCCCAGCCACCCCAGGATGGGCACAGCCACCCCAGAAATTGCCCAGCACCCCCAGAGGTGCCCAGGCACTCCGTACCTGATGAGCCGCCCGTTCTCCACGTAGTACTGCACTCGGAAGTGGATGATCATGGGGGGGCCAAACTGGTCGATGCCCTGGAATGGAGGAGGTTTTCAGGAATGCCCTGGGGATCCCAGCATCGCAACCCAGCCCCTCTCCTCAGCTCTCTGGGGTCATGGCTGTCACAGCCAACCCGTGCCCCCCCATGGCACTGATGGTGGTTTTGTTCCTCAGTTTTGAGTTTGGTGCCCATTTTTCCACATAAAATGCAGGAAATGAAGGGGATTTGGATTTAAAAAGGCTGGGTGTGACAAGTCCAGGAGCTCTGCAACACCTCACTGCTGCTCTCCCTCTCCCAGACCATCATCCACCAGCACTCAAGCCTGGACACCACCCCCTGAGCACTGAAAGAATGAAAAGAATGAAAAGGTGCTTTGGGGAGAAAAAAAAGCCTAAATTGATTTTAGAATTTGGAAGAAGGGACCTCAAAAATTCTGCTGAAGGATAAGGGAGGAAAAGAAAAATCAGAGAAAAAAAACCCCCAGAGCTCCAGGGATGGAGCATGGAGGACGCACCCCCAGCTGGGACACATGGTGGCACTCAGAGTGACAACCCCAGGGCTGTGGTTTTGCACATCCACCCCCAGCCCCACAGTGACCACGTGCCCCCCACCCCCTGGCAGCGTTCCCGGGTGCTGGGAGTGACCTGTGATGGGGACAGAGGTGGCCTCAGCTCTCCATGCAAGACCTCACCGCTGACCTTGCTGGCCTCCTTCTTCCACTCCTTGGGGCAGTACTTGTAGAGCTTCTGGGCCAGGTCCATGTACACATGCTCATTGTCTGCGAGGGACAGAGGTGGCATCAGCATCCCCACGTGTCCCCTGCCTCCCACCGTGACCCATTGGTGAGGGGAGATGGGGAATTGTGATCTCCTCATCACCAAAAGTGTTGATTTTTCGCCCTGACTTACTCTGGATGACGCTGAGCCCGAAGAGGTGACAATCCTTCAGCCTCAGGAGGTCACACACCTGCACCAGTAGCTCTTGGCACAAAATCTTCACCTGTTAAAAAAACCCTTAAATGAGGCCTGGATGCATCTGTGCCCAGTAAAGCCCTCAGCAGGACCCCGAGCAGGGTGGGGGTGACAGGGTGGGCTGTGGGCTCAGCTGTGGCCACAAAGCCTGGAGCAGAGCTCTGCCAGGGCTGGGATGCTCAGAGCACCATGGGGCAGCTCAAGAACAGTGGTTGGTGGAGGAACCCAGCACTGGGGAGATGTTCTGGGGGCAGAAATCAGAACATTCAAAGTCTCATTCCACCCCATGGACACACCTTCCACCATCCCAGGGTGCTCCAAGCCCATCCAACCTGGCTTTGGACACTTCCAGAGATCCAGGGGCAGCCACAGCTGCTCTGGAAAACCTGTGCCAGGGCCTCCTCACCCTCCTAGGCAAGGATTTATTCCTATTATCTGATCTGAATCTTTCCTCTTGAAGTTTAAAACCATTTCCCCTTATCCCCTATAAGGACAAGGGAAAAGGTTTTAGATTAGAGGTGGATATCATTATCCACCTCTTTCCATCTTTGTTTTTATAAGCTCCCTTAAAGTCCTCAAAGGAATTTCAACATTTTCACGACTCAAATGCAACATTGGGTAGGGGTGAATTAACAAAAAAAAAAAAAAAACAAAAACAAAAAGTGGGGAAATTTGGGAATTTCACATTCAATGCTCCATCCCAACCAGATCCAAAGCTCCTCCTGTTTATTCCCTGGGCTAGAGAAGGCTGGAGAGCCATCCAGAAGGGATTGGTGGAGTGATGGGGCTCGTGGCATGCTGTGGGATGCCAAGCAGCAGGTCACCCTCCCCAAACCCAGCATCACATCCACCAAGGAGACTCAGGAGAGCCTAAAACACCACTGCAACCCCCAGGGGAATAACCCACGTGCATTTCCCCAGCAGGGCAAGGCCAGGCAGGCTCTAAAGGAAACCCAGGGCGTGCAAACACAACCCTGGGGGTGAGGGAGGTGTCAGGCTGGGGAGGAGAGGTTCCTTACGTTGATGATGATGTTGAGGGAGTCGTCATTGGGGAGGAAGATGCACACGCTGCGCCGGTCCTGCATGACTCTGTTGTTGTGGAAGGGCAGCTTGTTCATGGTGCTCTGGCCTGGGGGCTCGGGGGGGCTGCTGGGGGCACCTCACCGGCGGGCCGGGGCGGCCTCGGGCTCTGTGGGTGCCATCCCTGGGGGAAAAGGGGGCGATGAGCCTTGGGCAGGGCACCCTCAGCTCCCCAACTGCATCCCCCAGCCCTCCCACCCACTAGCACATCCCACACGGTGTGGGGTCATGGTGGGGGTGTCCCCCTGCCCCAGACTGCAGGCCAAGATGTGTTCTATCACCAGCTGTGCGGCAGCTGGCTTCTGTCAAGTGGGCAGTTTGCCTTATCTCTGCTACAACTGCGGATACTGATAACAGCTATTGAATGTCCCCTCAGATTATATCCAGGTAGGAATGCTTGGCTCCTCCTTCTGGCCTCACATCTCCCAATGGGATGCTGTATATCCAGATTATATACCTGGATATAATCTGGAGATTCTGGAACACCAGCACGGCTTCTCCACTGGATTCCCCAGAGGATTTCCCTCTTCCCCTGGATCTCCAGAGGAAGACTGCACCCTTCTCCAGGATCCCTGCTCCAGCAGAACCACCCCTGACACTGCAGGAGGGCTGAGCCACAATTCCAATGGGACTGCTGCCAACAGCCTGACCCACAGGGTGTCAGGTTGGGTTCTGACTGTCAGTGTTGGTTTGGTTACTGCATTGTTTATCTCATCCCCTATTAAAGAACTGTTATCTCCTGCTCCCCTATTTTTTGCCTAAGAGCCCCTTAAATTAAAATTTATAGCAATTCAGAGGGGTGGGGAGGGTTTACATTTTCCATTTCAGTGTTGGCTCCTGCCTTCCTTAGCAGACTCCTGGCTCTCCAAACCGAGACACCCCCAAAAACCCCAAGCACACCTCACCCCCCCACAGGCACCCCACCACAGCCTCCCCCATGGTTTTAGGCCCAGCCCCAAAAATCTGAGCCAGCAGTTTGATGCTCCTGGCTCAGGCTCAGGAAAATCTCAGGAAAGGCTTTTCTGGCATAATTAAAATAAATAGAAGTTTATCCACTGGGAATAACCCGGTTGGGGCAGCGAGGAGCTGTGCTGGAAGAAGGAGGTTTCCCTGCCAGCCATGGAAAGGCAAGGAAATGCTGTGGGGTGTCCTTAGAGGATCCCCACATCCATTCCAACATCCTTCCAACCAGTTCTGACTCTTCACTGGGGTGAAATAAAACTATCCAAGCACTAGCAGGGACTGGCAGACTGGAATTGACATTCAGATCCAACAATTCCATCCTAACACTGACCCCAGGAAACCCTCATTTCCCAGGGTGAATATTCCCAAAGCGCTTTTTACCCCACCATTCCTGAGGACACGAATTCCCAGGGTGACGTGACACCATGAGGAAGAACTTTAAACTCTGACCTAGTTCAGCCCTTTCCTAGCCCAGATTTACACTGGCAGACAGCAGAGTGTCTCCCTTGTCACCAAATATTTGCTTTGGTCTAAGTGGAAGCGCCTTTGGCTTCCGAAAGTCTGGAATTCCTGCAGCAGCACAGGGGGAAAAGTGCCCTGAAGTGACTTTTGGTTGGTGGTTCCTGGGGTTTTGCAGAAGTTGGGAAATCTGGAGGTGATGCTTTCCCATGGCCAGGGCACACTGGGACTGCAGCACAGACGCTGTGTCCCTGCATCGTGGATTCTGGATTGCAAATGTGCATTGCATCCATGCATTGCATTTGTGCCTTGGGATGGTGCATTGTGGCCATGTATTGCACCCATGCATTGCATCCCTGCATCCTGGCCATGCGTTGCACCCATGCATCATGGTGGTACACCACAGATTCTCTGTGTTGCATCTGTGTGGATCTTGGCCCTCCAGTGCATCCATGCATTGTGGCATCCATGCATTGAGCTGGAACATCGTGGCACCTATGCACTGAATCTGTGAACTACAGATGTGCAAACCTGGCCATGCGTTGCACCTACACGGTGCATCTCTGCGTTGTGGCATCCATGCACTCAGCTGTAACATCATGGCACAAATGCACTGCACCTGTGCATTGCAGCAATGCATCAAGGCATCTGTGCATTGCAGCACTGCAGTGCGGCATCCATAAATTGAGCTGAACATCATGGCATCCATTCACTGCATCTGTGCAGCACAGACGAGCAACCATAAATTGTGTTGGAACCTCATGGCATCCAATTGTTGCATCTGTGCAGCACAAGCATGCAGCTGGCCATGCATTGCACGTACACATTGCACCCATGCATTGTGGCACCCATGCATTGAGTTGGAACATCGTGGCACCAGTGTATTGCATCTGTGCATTGCAGCACTGCATTGTGGCATCCATTAATTGTGCTGGAACATGATGACATCCATGCACTGCACCTGTGCAGCACAAATGTGCAACCTGGCCATGCACTGCATCTACACATTGCCCCCATGCATTGTGGCATCCGTGCATTGGGCTGGAAGATCATGGCACCAGTGCATTGCATCTGTGCATTGCATCGATGCGTTGTGGCATCCATGCACTCAGCTGTAACATCATGGCACAAATGCACTGCACCTGTGCATTGCAGCAATGCATCAAGGCATCTGTGCATTGCAGCACTGCAGTGCGGCATCCATAAATTGAGCTGAACATCATGGCATCCATTCACTGCATCTGTGCAGCACAGACGAGCAACCATAAATTGTGTTGGAACCTCATGGCATCCAATTGTTGCATCTGTGCAGCACAAGCATGCAGCTGGCCATGCATTGCACGTACACATTGCACCCATGCATTGTGGCACCCATGCATTGAGTTGGAACATCGTGGCACCAGTGTATTGCATCTGTGCATTGCAGCACTGCATTGTGGCATCCATTAATTGTGCTGGAACATGATGACATCCATGCACTGCACCTGTGCAGCACAAATGTGCAACCTGGCCATGCACTGCATCTACACATTGCCCCCATGCATTGTGGCATCCGTGCATTGGGCTGGAAGATCATGGCACCAGTGCATTGCATCTGTGCATTGCATCGATGCGTTGTGGCATCCATGCATTGAGTTGGAACCTCATGGCATCCATGCAGCGCACCTGTGCATTGCAGCAGTGCATCAAGGCATCTGTACATGGCATCACTGCATTGTGGCATCCATAAATTGTGCTGGAACGTCATGGCATCCATGTATTGCATCTGTGCAGCAAACTGGCCATGCATTGCAGCACTGCATTGTGGCATCCATAAATTGTGCTGGAACATAATGACATCCATGCATTGCACCTGTGCAGCACAGACGTACAACCTGGCCATGCACTGCATCTACACATTGCCCCATGCATTGTGGCATCCGTGCATTGGGCTGGAAGATCATGGCACCAGTGCATTGCATCTGTGCATTGCATTGATGCATTGTGGCATCCATAAATTGTGCTGAAACCTCATGGTATCCATGCATTGCACCTACACAGTGCACCCATGCATTGAGTTGGAGCACTATGGCACCCATGCAGTGCATCCCTGCAGCACAGCTCTGCGCCGTGGCTGTGCCTGGCCCCTCTCCATGGCATCCATGCTCTGAGGCCATGCCTGCCGTGGCCAGGTTGGTTTCAGGGCTCGTTGAAGTTCCCGGTGCTCACGGATCAGGGCTGAAGGAATTTGGCACGTCCTGGCCTGGCTGGGCACCGGCAGCTCCCGGGCACTGGTGGGATGTGGCTTGTGAGGGCTGGGCTGGGGAGGGGCCGTGTTCCTGGCAAAGCAGCCGTGTCCCGGGGCTCCTGCAGCACCCTCCGTGTCCTGCTCCCACCCACAGGCTCCTCAGCTCCCAGGGGAGCACCAGAGCTTCCTCCCGAGCTGGCTCAAAATGCCAGCCATGGGCAGCACCCACTGCTGAGCTACTGGAGAATCCATCCCTGGGATTCTCTCCCCGACATGGGCAGGAACACCTTCCACCATTCCAGGTTGCTCCAAATCCAGTCCAACATGGAAAACTTCCAAGCATGGGGCAGCCTCAGCTCCTCTGGGCAGCCTGTGCCAGGGCCTCTCCTTCCTCACAGCCAGGAATTCCTTCCCAATATCCCGTCTAACCCTGCCCTCTGCCAGTTTGAAACCATTCCCTCTTGTCCTGTCACTCTCTGGCATTCTGGGGCTGCTCATCCCCTCACCAGTCCCTGCATTTCCTCCTCCTCCTGCAGCCTGGATTGATCCCAGAGCACCAGGGACTAAACCACACGAGCTGGCGTCAGCAGAGCACGGACATGGCAGAGGAAAAAACCACCCGAGCCCAAACCCTATATTTTGGTGTTTGTATAGAAAACACCCAGCTCCTGCTGCTGAGTGGGAACATTCCATCAGCCCACCACACAGGGACGGTCCCTATGGAGATTCCCTCAGCTCCAGGTGCTTCCCGGGGGCTCTGGCAGCCCTGGGAGCTGCAGGGATTCAGCAGGGGACACACAAAGCCCTTTCCAGGGTGCTGTGCCTGCAGCAGTCCCGGCCAGACACCGGGAAATTCTTTCCAACATCTGCTGCTCATTGCCACAATGTGGGCTTTGATTCCCTGGGACCCTGCGCCGCTGCCCTCACAGAGTCACTGCTGCTCCAGAGGAAGTGCTGAGAGCAGGCACAAACGTGGAAGCATGGAATGGTTTGGGTTGGAAAGGACCTTTAAAGATCTAGCCCAACATTCCCAACTCCAAGATGGAAATATGGATTGGAGAGCCCCCCTGGATTTCCCCACAGCAGAGGGAGTGACACAGATCACCCCACACTCCAAGCAGGAATCTCCACTCCAGGCAGTCTTCCAAAGGGTTTTCCATCCAAAGTCAGCTGGAAAAAACACTGGGAATGAGGACTTTGGCATGCATCAGCAGAGTGAGGAGGTCCAGGTCTTCCAGCCATGTTTTCCCTGCTATGGGGAAAAGAACATTAAAACTCCACAGGAAGGCACTGCAAACTCCTCGTGACTCCAGAGCTGAGAAAATTCCTTGATCCACCGTGTTTTCCAGGCCCAGGCCGCTGGAATATTGTCTCCCTCCCTGGTGCTGATGCCATGGGATAAATCCTGTCACAAAGCTCGGCTGCAAAGAAAACATCCCACAAAAAACCTGGGAAAAGCAGCCGGGGCTGGCGCTGCTGACTCGGCGAGGGATTTGCTCATCCCGGGGTCCTGCAAACACATCCGAGGGCAGGCAGAGCCTGGGACTAGTTCACATGGAGGTGCTGGAGCAGGATCTCGTCAGAAATAGAAATTTGGATGTAATTCCAGGGTGGGGATTGAACATGGTTTGAACTTGCTGGCTGAGGTGGGGTTTTCTTCCAGATTCCGTGCGTGTGAAGCGAGGCTGGATGGATGGGCAGCGTTTTTCCCTCTTTGTTGATTTAAATGGATTTAAAAGAAGTGGATGAGTCTCCATCCTCGTGGGTTTGGGTCAGGTTTGTCCCTCTGTGGTACCCACCAGATATCCCAGTGCCCCCCATTCAACCAGCCTCCAGGCAGATCCTGTCCACTTCTCCATCAACCAATCCATCCCTCCTTGCCAAAATATCCACTTTTCCAAAAAATGCAGCTCTATCAGAGCTTCTCCAAAAAATGCAGCTCTATGTATGCCTGGAAGAATTTAACAACCACGTGGCTGTGGCACTTGGGGACATGGGTTAGTGCTGGGGGAACGGCTGATTACAATCCTAGAGGTCTTTTCCAACATAAAAAACTCCATGATTCCCTGATTCTAACCCACCTCCAGGCTTTTGTTCCAGCCCTCCTGAGGCTCCCCAGGGGCAAGGGAAGGGATCCAGCCCAGGACCCACACGTAGGCAGGGGCCATCCACAGCCAGAGGCTGCCCAGAGCGCGGGGCGAGACGGGAAGATGAATTCACGGGGCAGGAATTTCTTGTTTTGAAGAGTCTGGAGTGGGTCTCACCCCACATCACAGGCACAGGTATGCACAGAGCTGTTATTACAAGTTTTAGGGCCATCCCTTAATGCAGCTCCTCCGAACCCAAAACCCAGATTAATTCCTGCTTGCGGTTGCCCCGTAATTAAAATCGTCTCCAATTCTTCATGAACTCAACAGTTTCCTCCTAATGAAGAGAGGCAGATGAAAGAGACCTTCACTGGGAAAAAGGACTCAGTTATAAATATTCCATTACTTCATCCACCACAAAAGCTATTTGGATGCTGGAAGCTCAGCCTGGGCAGCCAGGGCCAGCCCCCACCAGCCTCAGCAGATACCCCCGAGTGCTGGGGGTATCCAAAAAGCCTCTCCAAGGAAAATTCCTCCAGGAGCTCGCCTCTCTCCACCTCTTCTTCCTCATCTTCCTCCCCTTTGGCTACTGCAGTGGGACAACAGCAACGGGCAGGAATGGCTGGGCCACGTGGATCATCCTAAAAATGGGGTGATGTCCCCTCCCGCTGGGGATGAGCCCCATGGGACATCACATTCCATGGGGAAATGCAGGAAGCTGCTTGCCCTGCTTATCTCGTCATGCACGGAGCAGAATCCAGCCTGGAAGCGCTGATTTTCCATCCAGCCCACAGCAGAGTCACCCCAGGCCTCTTCATTCCCTGACTTTGGAGCACTGAAATATAAATAAAGCGTCCCTGCCTCCGCCAGGGATGGACACAGAGATGGATTTCTGCTGGTAAGGGCTCCAGGGAGGGGAGGGACAATGCCTGCTCTTCCTCTTCCCTCCTCTGCTCCAGAACCAGCCCCTTCCATCAGATTTCCTTCCAGGAAACTTCGCCTGAGCCTCTGGGATTAGAACAATATCAGGACTGGGTTGGAGAGGGTTGTGCTCAGGCAGCCCAGCTCTCCCACCCAGCTCCAGAGCCTGTCCCACGGCGTTCCCAGGCATTTCAGGAACCATCCCCTAGCACCCAAAGCTCCCAGAGCTCCGATCCCACTCCCAGGATGACAGGCATCACTCCCAAGGCTGCACATGGATGTGGAGCACTGCCTTTGCTCCCCTCTCCGTGGGCAGGCTGCAGCCCACACCAGCAGCAGCCGCCGCCATAAATCCCTTGGGATTTGGCTGCGGGATCCCTGGACCACAAAGCAGCCCCAAGGGCCAGAGTCACCATCCCAAACCCCTGCACCACAGAAAGCACAGCCCCGAGTCTCCAAACCACAGAGATCCCCATTTAGAAATTAAAGTCATATTTTAAATTTAATTAACAATATAATATTAAATAATTAATAATTCCATGTAAATATTAATATTGTTAATACGCAGTGATGAATGTTTATGTTATTTTCTATAACAACACACCCCCCAGATGCTGTGACCCTGGGTAAACCCTCCCTTCCCAGTAGGAGGCACTTTTGGGGAGCCCCATTCCCTAATATCCCAATAATAGAAGAGCTCACAGGCTCCTCTACATTGGCTGCCCAAACTCATTCCCACTCTGGGGAATGTGCAGTGCTTGCTGCACATGGAGAGGGAAAAAATGTGATGCAAAGCGCTCTGCAGACACACAAGAACCCAAAAACCAGCTCCATTTTACGCCCAAAAATTCAAATCCATGCCTGGACCATCCAGAGCTCCCGCTGCCCTCTGTGGCATCCTCGCCTCCAGCTCCAAATCCAGCAAAACAAAGCCAAACCAAGTTCCTGATTTTTTTAATCCTGGGGCGGGCAGAGGGAGATTTGTCTTCCCTCAGCAGCGCCGCTCTCCAGTTTTCCAGCTGGGAAAGCTCCTCAGCCACGCCACAGCCTCCATCAACTTCCCTGCCCCGGCCACCATCAGGGAAAGCTTTTTGGGAAAAACATCCCAAGCCCACTTTTCAGTCAAGGGGAGGGAAAAAGGCAGGATAAAACTCAATTAAGGAGCAGGCAGATATTTTAACCAGCGCCATGGTTTGTATACTCCATCTGGAGTCCAAAGGCTGCCGGGTTTTTTTTTTAGCAGGAGGGAACTGACATCATCTTAATTTCAAATTCCCATTTATTTTTACATCTGGTCTGAATTAATCTTTCTCAGCGTCCTGACTTTCATGTAATGGAATAATTGCTTACAGACTCGGGGTTTAAAGAGCCTGAATAAACCCAGTTTTTTAAAAAAAAAAAAGAAAAGAAACCCCTTTAAAAACCGATAGTAAAAATCCAGTACCTAGAACCAAACTCCAATATGCCTTCGGGATTGGGAATTTTAAACGGAACATCTCTTTCAGGCAAGAGAGCTCGAATTAATCCCAGCTCTATCCAAGATTCCGAGAGGGAGAGCGAGCCCTGTGGAAAAACACCAACACAAACCAGCCCAGAATTAGGCAGAGCAGCACAGCTCCATCGGTGCCACGCGGGGAGCAGCTCTGGAAAAGCAGAGTTGGGCTCAGAAGGGAAAACATCCTGCTGGCCAGAAAGGCACTGGCCACGAGCAGGAAGAGGAGGATTCGGGAATGGGAGATGGCAGAAAGGTGGCAGGGGGCCAGGGGCACGGCAGGGTCGGGATGTGCCTCACTCCCACGGGCGAGTCAAAGGACACAGGAACACCAAGGATGGCGCTGGGAAAGCTCAGCCCAATTTCCCCGCTGCCACCAGGGCACCGGGTCAGATAAAGCCTGGCTTAGGAGCTGCATGGATTGATCCAGAACGTGTCAGGGATGGCATTCCTGGTGAGAAACACAGAGAGGGTCATCAGGGACACCAGCAGGGAGCAGCTGGCACCTCCATGGGGTGGGGGGCAGCCGAGGGTGAGGGGAGCCCAGGGACAAGGGGGTCCCACAGGTGGCTGTGACCCAGGGACAGGAGGATCCATGGATGAGAGGATCACAGATACAGGAACCAAGAGATGGTGGGGACCACAGCTGAGGGGACCTGTGGGTCACCACGAGCCACAGAAAAGAGCTGGCACAGGCACAGAGCACCCAGGGGTGAGGGGACCCACTGGGGATGTGTGACACAGGGGTGAGGGGACAGTTGGGTGAGTGTGACCCACGGACAAAGGGATCTATGGGCAAGTGTGACCCGGGGACAAAGGGACACGTGGGCACCTGCAAACCAGGAATGAGAGGACCCATGGGCGAGGGGACCTGGGGGTGAGTGTCACCCACGAGCAAGGGGTGAAGTGACCCATGGGTGAGCATAACCCAGGGACAAGCAGACCCATGGGTGACTATGAACCAGGAATGAGGGGACCTGTGGTGATGGTGACCCACAGGTGAGAGGACCTGTGGGTGAAAGCAAGGGGTCCCGTGGGTGAGAGGGACCTGTGGGTGAAAGCAAGGGATCCCATAGGTGAGGGGACCTGTGGGTGAAAGCAAGGGGTCCCATAGGTGAGGGGACCTGTGGGTGAAAGCAAGGGGTCCCGTGGGTGAGAGGGACCTGTGGGTGAGTGAGACCTCTGGGCGAGTGTGACCCAGGGGCAAGGAGATCCGTGGGTGGCTGGGACCCAGGGGACAGGAGTCCCGCAGATGTGGGGACGAGTGTGACCCAGGGACCATGACTCCCACAGATGTGGGGACGAGTGTGACCCAGGGGCCACAGGTCCGCAGATGTGGGTACTCAGGGGCACGGGGTCCCGCAGATGTGGGTACCCACGGACCGGGGCTCCAGCAGATGAGGGGACGAGTGTGACCCAGGGGTCCCGCAGCTGTGGGTACCCAGGGGCGCGGGGTCCCGCGGGCGAGCGCGCCCCTGGCGCGGCCCCGGGCGGTCGTGTCGGTGTCGCGGCGGTGTCGCGGCGGTGTGGCGGCCGTCGGGGGCCGTGGGGGGGTTCCGGCGGAGCCGCAGCTCCCGCGGGCGGGCAGGCGGGCGGGCGGAGGAAATGACTCGCATTCCTGCAGCCGGGGCCGCTCGCACCGCTCCGGCTCCAACTCGCCCCCGAGCGCAACAAGCGGCAGCGCCGGGCCCACCCGCGGCACGGCCCCGCGGGGGGGAGCCGAGCCGGGCCGGGCTGAGCCAGAGCGAGCCGAGCCGAGCCGAGCCGAAGGGAGCGGAACCGGGCTGAGCCGAGCCGGGCTGAGCCGAGCGGGAGCGCGGTGCGGGGCACGCACCTACCTGCGGCTGCGGGAGCGCGCTGCGTGCCGGCCGTGCCGTGCCGAGCCGAGCCGAGCCGTGCCGTGCCGAACCCCGCCGTGCCGAGCCGAGCCGTGCCGAGCCCAGCCCAGCCCAGCCCATCCCGCCGCCCCCGCCCCTTCCCGGGCCGCCCCGCACCGCCCCGAGCGGCACCGGCACCGCCTCCCGCCCCGGCGCCGGGCCCGGGACAGCGGGGACAGGCTCGGGAACGGGGCGGCCCCGGGCTGGAGAGACGAGTGGTGGCTCCGGAGGAGGCGTGGGGAGCCGGACACGGTGCCCACGGAAGGCTCCGGGAAGAGCCCGAGCATGGCATCCCCTGGGAGGGCACTCGGGCACCGTCCCTGCGGGATGGAGCCAGCGGAGGTGCCCGGGAGCGGAGCGGAGCTGAGCATCCTCCAGCAGGAGCGCGGCCGGAGGAGCCTCCGGAGGGCTGGGAGAGCTGGGGTGTCCAGCTTGGGTTGGCCTTAGAGCCCCTTCCGGTGGGGCTCCAAGAGAACTGGAGGGAGCTTGGATAGGGGGAATGGATTCCCACTGCCAGAAGGCAGGGATGGATGGGATATTGGGAAGGAATCCTTCCCTATGAGGGTGGGGAGGCCCTGGCACAGGTGCCCAGAGCAGCTGTGACTGCCTCTGGATCCCTGGAAGTGTCCAAGGCCAGCTTGGACAGGGCTTGGAGCAGCTTGGGACAGTGGAAGGTGCCCCTGCCCATGGCAGGGGTTGGAACAAGATGATTTTTTAAGGTCTCTTCTAATCCAAACAACCCTGGGTTTCTATGATCTCCCAGGGAAGGGGCTCACTTGCCCTCTGGGGGGGGTCCCACAGCACCTTATGTAGGGGATCCCTCACACCCATCCCATTATCCCGAGCCCCTGGACATAATAGAATCCCAGTTTTTAGGATTCAGGTTGAGGCAGGAGCAGAATTAATCCCCATTCCCATCAAATCCCCCCCTAGCAGCTGGATGAAGGTGAGTGTGGCTCACTCATGTGAGGCCTGGACACCCTTAGAAGCTGATGCACACACAGATCCCTCTCCATAGGTGACCCAGGCCCGGAATAGCAACAGCAGCAGCACCATAAATTAGCAGCAAAGCATCTCTGAGCCGCTCCTCCTTCAGAAGTGCCATCTGGCGAGATTGTTTTTGGAGGAGTTATTTATTCCTCACTTTAACCGTCTAAAGGCGTTCCTCGGGCTGACCTGCGAGGCCGCCTCGGCCCCCGCAGTCTCTCCGAGGCTCTGGGAGAGAGGAGCCGCTTGTTCCCAGCCCTAAATAAAGAGCAGCTCTGCTGTGAGCACCCTGACACTCCTTGCTGAAATCTGTTTGCAGCTCAGCAGCTCGTGCTGGGTAATTCCATTATGGGAGTGCACGGTGCCGGCGCTGGGAATCCAACGCGCCGCTCTCCTTGTGGAGAAAAACAACCTGGCTTTCTGCAGGGATGGGGCTGGATATCCCTTGGGTTTGGGATCACTCTCATCCTCCTGTCCATGCCAGGTGGAACTGGGAGAAGGTTTCTACCCCACAGCTCCTGCTCGAGTCCTTACAAAGCCACTGGTGCCACTGCCAAGGGCATGGAGAGCATCCTGTCCAAGCAGGGCCTGTCATTCCAAACAAGGCGTGTCTTTCCGGTCAGAAATGTCTTTTTTTCCCCAAAAACTCCCTCTGGAAACACCCCTCCTGCAGCTGACACAAGCAAAGCCTCCTTTGGCTCATTTCTCTGAACCCACAAATCATTTTAGGGATATGGGGTGGCACAAGCAGGACACGGCCCCATTGGTGTGGAGCTGAGGAGGACGAGTGGGTCCTGCTGAGCACATCCCAGGCCCTGTGGAGTACAGGGATACAGGAACCCAGCTCCTGCCTTGCTGCAGAGGCTAAATAAAGCAGCAGGAAGAGCTCTGGGATGCCAGCGAGGCGATGTATAAACACCGACGTGGATGGCGCGGCTGCTCCCGAGCCGGGGGGAAAATCTCGGCTCATTCCAAAGGGAGATGCTCCCAGGGCTGGAGGAGACACTCCAGGAAAAGCCATCCCAGGCTGCAACGTGGGGAGAGCTCGGAAAGATGGACCTCAGCCAGGGTCTGCTCTGCCTCTGCTCTCTGGGAGAGGAAAAGCCCAAAGACTCCGGTGACATTTCCCTCACAATCCTGGAATTAATCTCCCTCAAAGTCCCAAGGAGCGGAAATGCAGATGGAAAATGGGAAAAAAAATTGAATTCTTTTGGGGTTGGTTTGGTTATTTTTTGCATTGCTAAGCCTATCTCTAAATAACAATAATTAAAAAAAAAAGGTGGTGTGGTTATGGCTGAAAATACCATTCCCATAAAATACTCTTGCACTGGATGTATTTATATGGAAAGGACAGGAAATAGCAGCAGCTCACTGTGATCCTGCATTATCACCAGGCGAGTGTCTCCCATCCCAGAATTTCAATGCTGCCATTGTCACTGGCAGGAAGGGACACGGAGACGTGGGAGCTCTCTTATCTCATAGTGTCCCTCAGATTTTGTTAATGGCATAAAAATTATTACTCCAAAAGCAACAAAATAGCAGCTAAACACATCCCTCTCTGCATCCCACCCCCTTCCCAAAGGCTGCTGGATTAGTTGTGCTAACCCAGGCTTGCTGCTTTCAGTGCCCAGCATCCATTTCTAGGGATTTTTGGGATGTCCTGCTAGGAAAATTGACCCTGGAGCAGCAGCACAGAGACCTCAGTGCTGACCACAAGCCTTGTGGGGGGCATTTGGGGACAGGGGTGTCACCTCTGCTGGGTGACACCTGGCACAGCACCAGACTCCACGATCCTGATGGGCCCCTTCCAGCTCAGCATATTCCAGGGCTCCAGCTCTGGCTGCAGCTGGGATTTAGAAATTCCTCCCTGGACAAGAGAGGAAAACAAATCCCAGCTACTGTGAGAGGGCTGTGCCGGGGCTGGGAAGGTTTCTCAGCCCATAAGGGGAAGAAATTAAATAAAGAATCCCTGGTGTGGAGCCACAACAGCCGGAGCGTTGCTATAAACTCCGGAGGGGAGCTGGAGCTCGCTCCCATTCCTGCATTTCACGGGGATTTCCAAGGAAGCTCTGCCTCCCTCCCTGGCCAGGCTGGGGTGGCTGAGCCCCCGTCCCCCCAGCACAGAATCAACCAGGCTGGAGGGACCCTCTCCAGCTTTTTCTGGGCTGTTTAGGAGAATTCCATCTGATTTTTTGGCCATAAATACCCAATTCGTGGAGATCTCATCCAGCCTCTGCTTCAATTTGGTTTGAATGTAATATAATTAATAAGCCTGAGCTTATTTGTTAATGATAAAATAAAAAATAATAAATAATAATTAAAAATAAATAATAAATTATAATAATTAATAATAAATAAATAAATAGAAATAATAAAAAGTTAAAAGCCTGAGCACACATTGGGACCCCTCCTCAGGGGTTTTGCCCCAGTGCTGCTCCTGGGGGTACCCACCTGGGAACAGCTCCAACTCCATCCATCCCAGCTGAATTTTGAGAAAACTAATCCCTGGATGGTGCTGGGAAAGGGGGAACATTCCCTGGGAGAGGCCCGGGGACACCCCAGCTTAGGAACCAGGTGGAGAGCAGGATGGTTCCTTAATTCTGGAATTTTGGCAATGCCAAACCACTCGTGGCTCCCCAGGAATTCAGGGATGCTCCCAGAGGGGCTCTTCCCACCTGATTTTAGCAGAAGGAGGATGCTACTACATTTAAATGGCCCCCAAAAATCCCCCTCTGTATTCTCCATGCCCAGCCTTTGCTGAGAAGTGAGCAAGGATGAAAATAAAATGAGATTTAAACCCAACGAGGCTGGAAAATGAGAAAATCCAGCCTGAACCCCTGAGTGTTGGAACCATCAGGAAAATCCAAGCGTGCACCCGGCAGGGGAGCATCCCCCAGCTCCTCCAGCCCAGCATCCTCCTCCTCCTCCTCCTCCTCAGCAGCAGGGATGCCATTGGAGCCGGGACATTCCTCGGGATGGCCAGAGGGAAAGGTGGGATCGCCCCAAACCCAAATCCCCTGCTCCTCACCCAACCCTCACCAATTTGCTGAATTCATCAGCAAATTATTTATAAATTCAGTGATTTTCAGGCAGGGATTTTCTATGGACTAAGTCTGGCTTTCCCCCAGCCCCATTCCCAAATCCACTCTCATTTCCCTCTTTTAAAACCCCAATTCCCCCCTCCCATCCTTTCTGTTTTGGGAGGCCCCAAAGGGCTTTTTCATGGCCTGGAGGTTATTCCTAGAGTTTGCTCCCAGGCTGGCAGAGCTGCTGCAATCCCATGGAATTGTGGTGTAAAGCAGGAAAGGGCGGTGGGGAGGGGCAGACGGGGAGGAAAGATCACAGGAGCGAGCAGGGGAATATTTTTAGCCCGTCTGTTCTCCAGCACTCCATGATCCCAATCCCATCTGACAGAGGGGCAGACGCCTCAGGGCTGCTGGAACAGGAGAGAAACCCCAGCAAGGGCCCCCTCAGGGGGGTCACCAACAGCCCTGACCTACAAAACATCAGAGAATCACCCCCTCAGTTGGGTGGGTGGGAGGAAAACCGGGAATTTCTCTGTTGGGAAAAAAAAATTAAAAAAAAAAAAAGTGGAGTTTGGGTGATGAAAGACTTCAAAGAGCCAGGGCTCTAAAGGAGGAGGTGTGGGGGGCACATTCCCCCTGGCACCCTGGTGATCCAGCTCCTTGCTCACCTGTGCCCATGGATTTCCCATGGCTGACAAGTTTGCAGGAGCCACGGTGAAATCTGGGAATGGGGTCATGAAGCTGAAGGTTTTGCTCCAAACCTGATCCAGGAGGATCTGGGATAAAGCCAGGAAAAGAGGTCAGGGCTGGCTTTGCTCTGTGCAAAGTGCAGCAGCAGCGGGAATGGGTTGGGCATGAAGGGTCATGGAGCAGCACCACATTCCCACTGGGAGAACTGGAGATCCTCCAATGCAATTCCTGAAGGGAACCCAGCAGAACCCTCACAGCCTGAGCCAGTTCAATTGTCACCCTGATTTTTTAGGATTTTCTAAGCCTTCTGA